CTCTCTGTACTGATTTTTTCCTTGTTGTATTTGTTGTACTTGTACTGATTCGACTTGGAATAATTCCCTTTTTTGGCATATTTGTTTTTCTCTAACTTCCATCTGGACTTCGAGGCGCGGCTGTTCGAGTTTTTTTGAAATTCCCGTGGGTCCAGCTTTGAGTTCCTTTGCTGTGTTTTCAAATGCTTTTACATTTTTGCACTTCTCAGCAAAAGCTTCTCCAAAGAGAAATGCATCAGGTAATTGAGTAGCTGCAATTTTTTGTATTTTTGCATTAAAGTGGGGATATAATTGGAATTTTCTATGCCCTAAAATAGTGTTATGCACATGACAGAATAACTGGCCAGCTTCAGCAATTGCTAACAAATTTGTGTCTGGATCTTCTTGTGGGTTATTTTCCTTCATATTTATATTTATAAGATTAGAGAGTGCACCACCAAGGGCGGCCAACCCTTTTTCCATTAACATTTGTAACTCCATCATAAAGGCGTCTCTCTTCTGATCTGTTGGTGATAGCATTACTTGTACCTCAGGGTTAAGTTGAGGCCCTTGAAGAAGATTACAGTTTACTGGAATTAACCATTTTTCTAATAAAGAAGCTTTGGTTTCTTTGTCCAACTCCTGTGTTAAATAGTTGTTCCATCTAGCGGCTAAGTCATTGGCTATTTCTGGTCCCAGTTTATTGTTATCGTTTGGATCAGCTCCCAATATATTTTTAATCGGATTATTTTCCAAATTATTTCCGCTGTTTCCGCTTTTAGTGCTACTTGAATCTGATGTACTTTCAGAGCTTGATGTGTCTGAGTCCTCACCTTTAATGCAAAATAAAACACAATTTTATTTTCATAGGACAGCCATAATTTTATAGGTAAACGAAAAAACCAAAATATAAGCTATTCATATAATTTGAGACACGCTTGGCGGGCATAAGTCAAAAACTATGCTGGGTTTTAGTTATTAAATATGTACGAAAAATAAGCTATATATGTCTACAAGATAGACAACCCATGCCAAAAATATTAGCCAAAAGCATAATATTTGTCTCTCTCCATTTTTTTTGTTATCACTCCTAAAAAATAAAAAGTTTAGTGGTACTTACTTGATTCATACCGCTTAAGTTGCTCCTGTAATTTACGCATTTTCTTTTTTATATTTCCCAATTCCTTGCCTTTTCTTTTATTCTGCTTCGGCATTTTAATCAATATAATTTTCGCCGGTATCGCGTATTTATTTCAATTTTTAATTAATCGAACTTGACTGTGTCAGCGCAAGAAGTATAATGAATAAACAGGGGCATGGGACGGGACCGGGGACCAGTGAATCGGTTTTCTCTGAAACTTGCGTACGTCAGCACTAGAAGTAGTACTATAGGGTGGCCTATTCGGATGTGACCAATTGAAGTATAATAGGTCAGATATACTTAAAACTTGTTTTCATCATGTTTTAATTCTTAACCCTCTACATGTGTATCAATCTGTTGGTTTCTATCTGGAACCGTTAAAAATTAGTTTAGTTTTCTTCCTTTAATAATTCTTGAATTGCCCTGTTGATTTCATCAAGTATAGAAAAAAACTAATAGATTTGAATGCTTCTAAAGGCTACTGTTCATTCGTCCGACATCCGATATATACGATAGGAGTTCTGACGTTTTCTATCGTATAAATATTTTTGGGAAGTGTTCATACATCCGAAATATTTTATCCGATTGTCATAAATTTTAGGTATAAACCTGGGGACATTTCATTAAACTAGTGATTAAAATCGTAGTTTGGTAGTAACTAAGGCCAGTGACAGCTGACGCTGTCTAATTTAACATTTTCCGGGGATTATCCGAACCAGGACTTGTTAATTTAGTAGACATTTTGTGATTTTTTTTTGTTTTAATTAATTAGATATGTCTGAAATGGTTGAAGATACAGAATACGACGAATATGAAGAAGAAATTGATAAGGTAAATAAACGTAGTCAAACAACAATGACACATATATACGTATAGCGTTTTTATTAATATAATAACATGTAAAAAACATTAATTTGTATAGGATGGGCCAGAAGGTGACATTCAAGAAGTGAGGGTTGAAGAACTTTTAATAAACTGCGTTGAAGCCAGACCCCCTCTTTGGGATAGTCGCCTTCCATTAGTTCAACGTTTAAAAACAATTAGAGACGAGTTATGGCTTGAAATATATCAAGAGTTCGGTGGTAATAATTGTTTAAATTTATTTATTCAGTAGTATTTACAGAAATTAAAGCTGCAGATATGCATTACATCAACTAACAGAGTTCCTATTTTGCTTATTATATTGTTTATTTCAGAACAGCCAGAGTTTTCAGTCAAATTTCTCATGAATAAATGGAGAAATTTAAGAGATACATATGTGAGAGTAAAAAATGAATACGAATCATACAAAAAGAGTGGATCGGCTTCAAAAAAAAAAGAAAATTTGGGAATTCTATGAACATATGTTATTTTTAAAGGATACCTTAAATCATAGACCGTAAGTTATTGAATAAAATAGTGATTTTTATAAATATGAAGTAATTTTATTGATTGTAGAACAACTGGTAATATTGTAAATACCCAATCACTATTACCTGAGGATAATCCATTAAAAAAAGCAACAACCTCAAAACAAACTGCAGAAATGGCAATTATTAATGCCCTAGAAAAAATAAATTCACCAGTGGTGCCACCTCCTCCTCCTCCTCCTCCATCTCTTCAACCAAGCCTTCAAGTTAAAGAAGAGGTCAATCCTATATGTCTGAGAATATCTGAAATATTACGTCATGTGCCACAAGGTGAAAGAACAATCCTAGAGATCAAACTGATGCAAACAGCTTATGAAGGAGCAAAAAAATACTTACAACCTTAAGACAAAATATGTTAAATTATTTAACTTGTATAGGGAGTGATATCCAACCTTGTGTATTTTGGGAAACATCAGTTTTTTATTACTTTAATTTAGCTACTTAGGTTATCTTATGGCTCCTAAAATACATAGGGTTCCATACCTACAGTGCCTACTTAAATAATAAGATAAGTTCATAAACATTTATTTGAAATAAACTATAAATATTTTAAGAATTTTATTATTTATTCCATTGGAAAGGAATAGCACCCTCAAATAAAAAATGAGAAGTCAATGTTTCTCTCATTGTTTTAGCTTCTTTCCCATACATATTACTACTGGCTCTATTGATAGGTACTAAATTACTCATATTCTGAATATCATTATGCCATTCTCCATGTATTATAGCCCCACCTCCATCTTCTCGATCAACTGCAGCTAAAGGGCAGTAACGTTTCTTATCATCGGTGGTTTTTGATTCAAAAATCATTACCCAATTATGTAAGCACACAGTGGATTTTACTATAGCTTCAACAGTAGGTAATGAAGCTATTATTGGTTTTCTGTAAATACGCCATCTGGATGCCAAAATGCCAAATACGTTTTCAATCACCCTTCTTCCTCTACTTAATCTAAAATATAAGAAAAGATACACCTATATGAGCATTAAATTTCAAATCCCATCAAACCTGTAATTAAAAATCCTCTCATTTTGTGGAAGAAATCGACCTGGATAAGGCCGCATCATTGTTGTTGTTAGTGGAAATGCTTCATCTGCAACCATAAAGTAGTTTATTGGATCTCCATAATCCTCAATAGGTTCAGGTGTAGGTAAATGTAATTGTCCATTTAACATTAGAGTACCTATAGCACTATTTCTATATATCCCACCATCACTATGACGCCCCTCTCCTCCAATATCGACCATAGTAAATTTGTAATTGGCATCGCATACTGCTAATAATACTATGCTGTGACTGTTTTTTAAAGCGATGCTTAGTTATCATGGACATGACTTGTATCTTCGTCTCTCAAGGCCTTCTTTAGAAACCATTTTTGAGGATCATTCTTTATAAAATAACGTGAAATAACGTTACTTAATAAGCTGAACCTTAGACTCTATTCTATCTTAATGCAAATCAAACATACTTGAATAATAACATGCTTCCCATCAATCGCTCCTACACAGTGAGGAAGTTGCCACCTTTCTTCAAATTCTTTAGCGACTACCAGCCACCTTTCCTCTGACGGTTGCTTTAAAACTATTTGGTTTAAGGAATCCCATATACAATTACATGTTTCACGAATAATATGCGAGACTGTACTGGGACCAATTCTAAATTCGTGAGACATTGAAACCATGCTGTCGCCACTTGCTAAATACCTATATGACAAATTACATTTTACCAAAATATTTACTATTTATGCCGTGGTAAGAACCTACCTTAAAGTTAAAGCAAGTCTCTCACTAGGTGAAATTGGCTCTCTTGTCCAATGCACCCTCCGTAATTTTGGACCTATTATATCCAATAATAAATTAAAAGTTTCAGCTGACATTCTTAAATAATTAAAATATTTTTCCTTGTCAGTCAAGCTCATTTCCAGTAATAAATTGTGGTATGCACCTTGCGATTTTCTTTTAAAAAATATGTTATGTTGCCAAAATCGCTTTGGTCTTTTTTTTCTTTTTAATTTTAGCCATAAAAGACTTAATAGTAGCACTGTATTTACTTTGTTATACCGTTGTTGACACCAATAATTCTCCATTTGTTATAAAGTACACGATCGTCGGAAAAAAGTTAAAATATATTCAACTTCTCCGACGTCGGACAAATAGTTAAAAGTTTCGTGGAGAGAATCCCGCCAAATATTTTTTTAAATATTCAGCCAATAGAAACATTTTCGGATCATCGTTTGTCGGATATCGTACGTGTGAACAGTAAGCTTTATCGCTAATATTTATCTGTAGCTGTTTAAGAGTTTCAAAAATAATGTCCTTTTGTCACCTGATTGTTTTGTCCTACAGTTTGACAAACGCTGATGTAGGTTATGTACATACAATTTGCAACACGAAAATAAAAAACTGGTAATTTTGGTTTAATTATTTATTTTCATCTATTCTAACAGGTACGTGAAAAATATTTTCTCCGTTTAATTTAAAGAAACTGTTTGACAAATTGGGTATGCTGTTGAACTGCAATTACGAGCACTCCAATAACCAGTTTCGCTATAATTATCAGGATGTACGGCTATACAAAACTCGTTACCATATTTTTTGCTTGGTTCTGCGTCGCCCCAATTGAAATACGCAATAGTTTTAGTGCTGATTAACCATATCCACCGGTTTGAATTTGCTAATTTGGTTCCTGATGTCCAAAATGCCTTGGGGGCTAAAAAAACTGTAAAACGATTTTATTATTATTTAGTCATTAAATTTTTTATTTGTGATTTACCAATTTTACTTAGCAAAAGAACCTATTAACCTTTTCAGGCCTGGAGCCTGTAACGAGCATTTGGATACTCGTTAGGATTTTGTATATTTATATTTATTATTCAAACATAAAGGATAATAAATATCGTTAAAGTCATTGAAATTGTTATTTCATATTTTTAAATTTAATATTTGAGAAGGAACTTTTCGAGTGCACCCTGTATTATTAATTCGAAATTTATCGAATATTCTATGTGTGATAACGCTACGCTACGATAGAGGAGGGGCGTGAAAGAGTATAAAAGACCGTTCATCAAAACGCCGGGAACTTTTGATTTTGTAAATTCAACCCACCTCTTTCTTTCTTTTCTTATCTCCGGAGAGTTTAGTTTTAATCAAAGTGTGGTTATAGTGAAATGGTTTAGTATTTAGCAATCAGTGTTGCCAGAATATATTTTTGTAATGTACCAGATTTGTCTAAAAAATGTACCAGATTGCATAAAAATGTACTAGATTCTATACAATTACCAGATTTTTCTCCCGAACAGCTTTTAAACCTTTTTTTATCTCTTAAGCTATTTTTAAACAATATTTTCTCTTGATAAATTTCTAACAGCAATTTTTAATTTTTAACAAGTTTTTTTTATCCCTCTAGCAATGGTTGTACAATATTTTTTGTACAATTTTTAACACTATTTTTGGTAGGATTCCCCACTCGACCATTCACTGTTGGGTTCTAATTAACAGTGCTGTTCCTAAAGTGGCGCTGGGAAACAGTAACAAAGCCTACACAGAACACGAGGCTAATGGCCTTAGTAGTCGATGCCGATGACACCAAATAAAAAAAAACAGTCTTTTTTACCTCTCAAGCTATTTTTGAACAATATTTGATCTCTCGTGCAATTTTTGAACAAAATTTTAACAATTTCTAACACTATTTTATCTCTCCAGCAATTTTTATTAACATTTTTTATCTTTCTAGCAATTTTTAAACAATGTTTTATCTCTCGAGAAATTTCTAACAGTATCTCTCGAGTCAATTTTGAACAATATTTTATTTCTCAACAAATTTTTCAACAGTAATTTATCCCTGAAGCAATTTTCGAACACGATTTTAACAATTTATAATACTATTTAATCTCTCGAACAATTTATAAATATTTTTTTATCTCTCATTAAATTTCTAACAGTATTTTTATTCTTAGAGCAATTTTTTAACATTTTACCCCTCAAGCAATTTCAAATACTATTTTATCCATCGGCCAATTTTTAACACCCTTTTTACCTCTCAAGCTTTTTTTGAACAATATTTGATCTCTCGTGCAATTTTTGAACAACGTTTTATCTCTCGAGAAATGTCTACTATTTTATTTCTGAAGCGAAGCAATTTTTAACAACTATTTTATATTCTCTGGCAATTTTTGAACAATATATTTTACACTTCAAATGGAACATACGCTGAAAAAAGTACTAGATTTTTCTTCGAGTGTACTAGAGTACCAGATTCTCAGAGAGTGTACTAGATCTAGTACAATTGTACTAGACTGGCAACACTGTTAGCAATAGGTAATGTAGAGCGTTTTCTTTATTTGTCTTTGAGGTAAATTGTTGGCTAAATGCTGCGTTAGAATTTCATTAATTGTCTAAGGGTATTTTTTCTTGGAGAAAAAGCCGGTTTGTGTCTTAACAAGGGATTTTGACCTTTAGCGCGTTGTAAATGCACATGGCATAGTTTGAATTTCATACCTGCAACGAATTTTGACCTTGCGCTTCGCTATTTAAGAGTGTTTTTCCGGTGAGCGGGATTTATCGATTTGTGTCAATTTGTCGATGGATAATTTGCAGTGTTAAAATAAAATAAAATTAAATTTTATGATAATTTGTTCATTGTTTCTTTTTCTATTGTGTAACAAATCGATGAAGCGCTAATTACTGGATTATTGTAATTTTTTGGTTAACTAATTATTCTAGGTGCGGTGTTTAGGTAATAATTTGTATTTTGGAGAAATATTGAAGGTTTGCTACTTTACTTATCGCCACAAAATATTAAACCGAATTCACTAATAATACACGGAGATAAAGCGGCTTCCGGACAGCTTATATACAAAGGTTGCTTATTTCTTTCTTCTCTCATCTTTTCTCTTTACTTTCTTAGTACTTTTTTATTAATTAACTAAGGCATAGTTCCTGATAAAGGAAGCTACGCTACTAAATGCCAGTTAATTAATAAAAAAGGTACCCTACTCTAATTCTATCTCTACTATCATATTTCCTTTTAAGTTTTTTCATTATTTTATTATTTTTGGGGTTTTTGTTTGATATAACCATAGGGTTATATGGGATTTAGATTGTTAACCATGAGTACGCTTGTTGAGTGATTTAGTAATTTTTAGGACTAAACATCAGATTTACCTTTAGGGACCGCGGGTTCAGTTGTGCCATCTTGGGTTCTCTGAAATAATGTTCTGCAGAGCCCGGGCTGGCACATCAGAATCACGCGAGTGACATTTTTGTTTTGTCTTGACATCAAAATAATAATATCATTTATATTAAACATTTATTTAAATTTAACTAACAATAAATTAAATCTTTAAATTCAATAACAAATTTTGATCTCCGTTAACCTCCAATCACTCGAATCACACTCGGAGAAACATGTTCCACACTGAGGTGAACGCACCTCCTTCTGTTGACATTTGACAAGTCAAAGTCTTCAAGTGTCGCTTGTCACCACTGTCATGTGGAAACGGTTAAACAACTTGAACCAAAATGAAGAGAGAAATTTAAATTTGAAAATATTAATATTAATAAAATTATGATTTAGCAAGTTGTAAATATCCCGAAATATATAATTTTGGGAGTGAGGATGACCAGGAACTTGTTGGATACGTTGTGGACAGTAGGTAGACTTTTTCATAATTATAATGTATATAAACATATAAAAAAACCTTCAGTTTTTTTACTTTGGCCTTCTGCGTTTTACTTTCTTCATATTAAATATTGTATTCTAGATTCAAATTTCAATATATCTTCCACAGTCACCCTCTAATTGTAAATTTCTTTAAATTTTAACTTATTTGTTAACCTTTTTTCAATTTTGTGAATAGTGAGGGTGGCATGATTCCTTAATTCCACACAAGCAAACTTGCTTCTGGAGATCAGATTTGATTTGTAAGGGCTTATCCCACACTCACTATTCCCAATACCAGTTTTTTGTCACTTTGTTTGTTTCTTGTAATTTTTAATTTGTTCAAACAATTGTATATATACTATTTTAACTTTTGACTTAAAAGTCTAATTCAGATTTTATAATATATTTTTTAAATTGTAAATTTACATCCACAATTTTTGTAGATGAGCACTGATGATGGCAAATAAGCCGAAAGCGCTTTGCATTGATTAATAAAAAAGTTTTGCACGAAATACAAGTTTTTCCTTTTGAATGTTAATCTATTGTCTAAATTATCTGTAGATAATTTTAATATTTTCGGGGATTTAAAATAATTCAATTATATTTAATTGATTCCTTTTTCAGATTTATTTAGGATACCACTTCATGGTTTTAAAGTAATCAAGGGGGTAACTATTAGTTTACCAACTAAGCTTAACTTTGGCATCAGTGCTACATAATTTTAAGTTTTAGTTAACTTTCTGAATAAGTTAACCTTCTGTTAACTTATCTAGTTTTAATATTTTTTTTTCATATAATTATCAGACTAAATGGTCTAGAACCTCGTTAAGGGTATATTGTTGGGGAATAATAGCATTCCTTCATTATTATCAGTCTTTTGGGCAATTTACGTAACCTCAGGGGTAGTAAAAGACGTCTTTTAACCACCATTTTTCTGTATTGCCAATATAAGTAGATCACACACACATATGTTTCATTTTCATGCACTGGGAGTATTACCGATGACAAGTTAGGCCAACAGACCAGAAAAGTTTTGAAAGTTAGTCGATCCAAGTGAAAATCGAGTTCCTCAGCATCAGAACGTCGGTGAATCTGCAACACATAGAATTGAGAGACCTTATAGTGTACAAGGCTCCTTCCTGAATAAGAACTGAATGCACCACCACTTCGTTTGAACTTCTGAAGAAGCTCGATTACCTCCAGAACCAGCAGGACCATCCCTCAGCTTAGTCATCCAGTAACTTAAACCAAAAGAAAGCCGAGCTTACTTGTATCTATTTGTGTACAGGTTACTTAAATTGCGAATATCATTTTTTCATTTTTTAAAACAATTTATTTAATACCTAAGTTTTATATTTTTCTACATCATTAATTGTCTTTTGGAACCTTCAGTTCAACTCTAACTATATTTTGTTTTTCCCAGAACCCTCAGTTCTGCATTTGTCATTATTATGGATAATAAAATCTAAATTGAATTTATTTGTTTTAATTTACATAAGGCGATTTTAAATCAGTTACTAGAAATGTGACCAAGTCAAGTGTGGTCAAGGTTCTTACGTCATTATAATGACGTTCTAATAATCTGATTTAAAAATGTTTGGTTTATATTGACACTAACTTCACAATGGGTATAACATTGACAGATATCATGAATTTTTGTTTGTGTGTTATGTAATAGTAGTAGGATTTGTTTTTGAATTTGTAGGGATAAAAAATAAGTATTTGTTTTGTTTACTGATCATGGATGAAGAGAAAATTGGTATTATAGTTACTTTGGCCTCTGATTTTTTATCAAAACTTTAGCCATGTTCATTAATAAATCCTACCTTGAAAATAAATTGGCTTTTCATTTGCAGAAACCTTAAATGCGTCCATATCTAGGTACTCAGCCAGGGTTGCCAGACGTCGCGCTTTAGGCGTAATTGTCCTGCTTTTTAACTTGCTGGCACGCGTTACGCCAAAGTACAAAAATGCTCCGCATTTTATCTTATTGCTACGTTTTTTAAATTCAAAGTTATATATAATGATATTTTTGACAATGTTTGACCTGTTTTTGA